TGCCATGCAATCTTCATCGTCCACTGTGGCGGTGCCCTGCAATGCTTCTACAGAATCTCTTGGAAACCAAATGCATCGTCGCTGGGCTGCTGAGGCCTTCCCTAACATGGTCACTGATGATGCGTCTGAGTCCAACAGATGGCAAGCAACTCGCGGCGCGGGATGCGAGGGTGAGACGAGAGAGGAGCGGCGCGACGTGTCTGTGCCCGCGCCGCGCCATGCCCCCGCAACATAATATGCATCTGCTTCGGCTCCGCCGATTCGGCGAAACGGTGGCGCCCCCCCCCCCTCGAGACGTAGACAAGCGAGAAATGCCTCAAATCTGTAGACCCACGCAAGGGGGCTCAACACTAGACCCCGACCGCGCGGACCCTGACACGCCGACCTTCGCGAGACCTAAGCACCCTGAATGGAGGCATCGACCTGGAGGTCATTGACCCGTAGACCGCGCGACAGGCGGGGCTACCTTTGGGGGCGCGTCGGGTAGGTTTACATGTCAAGTCAAGGGCTGCTTGTAGTGTCCTGATCGATTTTTGCCGCGCCCCATGCCCCCCCATCGCCCGTCCTCGGGACGCGCGGGCCCGTCGGTGTAATGCTGAAATGTCCAACAATCCTTACGTTCATCGTGGCTGATTGGGCACTGCGTGCTGCGTATCTAGCTGGGGAAGAGAGCTCATCTACCTCGACATGGGATCTCCGTTCTGGCGGCTGGCCCCCTGCCGTGATCGCCCCGATCGTTCCGCCATGCTCTGGCATGAAGACAGAATGCATATTCTGGGGCCGCGGCATGGCCCGCCGCAGGGGCACCCTTCTGTCTGCAATGGGATTATTTCTGGGTGCCTTTACCTCCGTCTGGCTGTGGGCTCGTGGCCCTCGCCGCTCCTTTGCGGGGCAGCTCGAAGTGGGGCTTCCTGGACTCTCTCGCTTTGTTAGGCCGCCGTTGCCCTGGCGGCGTGGCTCGCTAGCGTGCAGGAGCTGGCCGAGGTGGATTGGGATGGGATGGCTGCGCCTGCGCTGCGGCACGGGCCTATGTTCCCCCCGCGTGTCCGAGCTGGTTTCCGCGCAAGGCGTGCCCGCGCGCGCCGAAAATCTCCACGCAATCACTGGTGCCGGGCCAGCCCGGGCTCATCGAGGTTTTGGCTGCGTCGCCGTTCGAATTCCCGTCGAGCTGTCGGGGGCCCCTGAGGCGGGCCCCCCAGGGGTGGCGAAATCGTAAAAGGGCGGTCTCTTGCAGGCGTCTGGGCCTGGCGCCCATCAGCGAGGCACCTGCGGCGTGGTTTTGCCCCCCCTGGTTCCCGCCGTCTGGGCTGGAAACGCCGCGCGCTTCTGGTGGCTGCGCAAACCGGAACTGGCGTTGTCGCAGTGCCTTGCTGCTGCCAATGCGGCTGCTTGGCCGCGCGGCGGGCGATGCCTCTGCGCGAGTGCCCCCGGGCCCATCGGCCCCCCGAAAAGGCGGGCTGGCCCCGGACAGTCTCTGCAAATGCCCCGGGCGCGCCGTGGCCTTCCAGGATTGGCCTCGCGCTGCGCATTCGCTCTCGCGCCTGCAATTTCAATGTCTTCATGTGCCTGCAAATGCGCGCGTCGCCGGGCCCGCGTCGCGCGGCCTCGGGCGCTCGTCGCCTCACCGTCCACCGGCCCCGCCCTCGCCATCGAAATCGATGCGAGGGTGGCTGCGGAAGCACATGTCTCGCCCGCGCCGCGGCCGCCCAACTGCCCCCTTCAACCGCCCCCGTCGCTGGGGTCGTCGGTTCCCGAGCCCAGAGGCTGCGGGGGCTGCTCCGAAGCCGCGTGGTCGCCGCTCTCGTTCCCGCCAGCATTGCCGAAGTGCGTCTGGCTGCCGTTCCTCGCCGCGACGGCGCAGTCGATTTGCGCGGGCCGCCGAGGGGGCCGCGATCTGCTTCGCGGCCCCCTGGCGGCCCCATTCCACCTCTCCGATTGCCGGGGTCGTCGGTGCGCGGGCCCGGGGGCCCTGCAGAGATATTGCTCCCAGCCGTGTGGTCGCGGTTCTCACCCCCGTCGACGCTGCCGAAGCGCGTCCGGTTACCGCGACGCGTCGCGTCGGCGAAATGGGCATACTCGTGGCCGCTGAAGCCCCCGCCGAGCCCGCGTTCCTGGCTGCCCCCTTCCACCTCTCCCATCGCTGGGGTGGTGGACTTCGGGGCCCAGGGGCTTTGCGGGAGGTTCGCTCCGCGGCCCATATGTCCTCGTCGTTGTTCCTGCCCTCGTTGCATTCTCTCTTGGCGACATCGGTAGTGGCGTGATGTAGTCTGGGTCAGAAAATGGATCTGCTCTGTTTCTGACATGCTGTCCAATCGGCTCTCTTCCCTGGTTGATTCAATACTTACGCTACTTCTTACTTCTTGTCGGAAGTCGGAATTCAACTCGCGCAGTTGATCGAGCCGCCGAGTGTACCTCCCCCTGCCTGCCACCGCCTTGTGCCCAGCTTGCGAGCGTATATTCCTCGCGGCGTGCTCGGATTCCGCCACTGGGCTGGCAGCGACATGGGAACGGGATCTCTGATGTTACAAATTCAACGCGCCGCTGCAGCCAACCAGCTAGCGCCTGTTGTGGGTTCGTCTCTGCCTCGAGTAGATTCCATCAGGCGACCCTTGTTTAGCATGTGTCGCCTCAACGTGCGTCCTGCTTCCAGTGCTTATCGTTGATCAGGCGGTGGCTCTTCATTCCGCAGCTCGTTGGCTGCTTTTCACTCTCTCTATGGCAGTGCGTTCCAACCTTTCGATCACCGATCCTGCCATTCATTGCATCCAGATCTGCTGCGCACTCTTGCATCACCATTCGAACATTATGTAGGTGTCGCTACCATCGGACGATGATGCCTGACCACTATGCCCAGTTACTTTCATGCCTGCCATCCACATTTGCCGCGTGATCTCGTCTGCCCAGCTCGGCGGGTGTCCGCGCTTCTACGCATCTCTTCTTTGGCGTACTCATGAATGCTGTCTGGTTGATGGATGACTTGTTGTCGTGCGTGTGGTTCTGCTGGCTGGTCGAGTGCCAGTGAAACACGCCGCGACATCCGATCCTAGTTCACCATTCCTCCAGCCGCATTAACAGATCTGCTTGCCATGCACGTGCCGCGGACTGTGCTGTTGCTACAACGTCTGCTCTGTCTACGTAGCTGCTCCTGTTGACATTATGATTCGCGTCGGCTCTGCTTTTCACACTAGCTTGGCTTCGGTATCTGTCATCTGGTCTGCCTTTGCCTTGAGCTCCGCCATCTTTACCTCGTTCTCTGTCATTTGATACCTGTGGGCCACGTTGCTCCACCACCCTTGCCGTTCCCCGTAGTTGTTTGAAACATTTGGTAAATCTGCTCTTCTGCTGGGTCTGGGAGGTAAGGAGTCTGTTGTGCTAGTCCTGGCTGCGTTGGCGCCTAGGCTGGGTCGAACCATAGCAGCGCTCGATTCTGACCCAAGTTGCATCGCACCTGCGTCAGGAATGGGTATCCGTCCTCCCCCGTCTTGGCCGTCTGTCCACTTGATGCCTGAACAGCTGATGCACGCGCAGGCTCGGTTCCAATCGTCTTGTATGTGGTGTTGGCCCAGCTGGCGGCGGGCCTGATTGCGGCATCTGGTTCATGTACATCTACGCGGCCATATATTGCATCGGATCTTTCATATGCTGGCTCTGCGGGTGTAGCTCTGGAGCTCTGATGTCTGCGCTGTCGGTGAAGATGGGGCGGCTTCTCCTGCGATTCTTGCTCTTGGTAATATGTCGCTGATCTCCGCTGCTATCTTCTCGCCTACATGTCCGATGGCAGTCCGTGCGTCCTCCACCTCGTATTTTAGCTCCTGCTCTTGCTCTTCCAGCATTGCCATTATCTGATGTGTCTGCTTCAGCGTCTCGATTTTCTTTCAGTCTTGCCACGGCTTCTGCTTTTGCTCAGAGAGAGGCTTCAGTCGTGGAAGTCCGTACGGTCGCATGTCCATCACTTCTCGCACTTCCTCGACTTTTTGGCTCGAGCCGCTGCCACTGCCACTCTCGCAAACACCGAAACTCTGGTTGGCACGGTCTTTGTAAGCACATGCTTGTCGATGGTCTGCTGGCGGCGCCCAATTCTTGCATGCCGGGTGCGCCTCAACATCGTGTCGTAACGCTGGTCCCACCCGTTCTTTGAGTTCCCATGCTTGCTTTTCCATATGGTACTGTTCCCTGTCGCTGCGGGTTTCTAGTCTGGCTTGGATGGGCTGTCTTCCTTTCCCGTGACTCGTGGTCGTGCTTAGCGAACGAGGCCGTCTTGGCACGCTTGCCCCACGTTTTCCTCTTGGCATACTTGTTGCCGCAACCACAGTACCACGCCCACCCAGGAACGTAACTGCCACACTCGCAAACCCAACGTTGACCTGCCATGTGCGTCCTCTGCGTCTGGTCCTTGCTTCCTCGACCCGCGCGTCGTGGCTGCTGGGCAGTGTGGTGCCGCTGAAGCAACTGCCGTGCTGCTCCAATTCGTAATGAACATCGAAACGCGGCTCGCTCGCGTTTGGCACGACTGTGCCATCATGGCTCTCTGGACCTCAGGAGCGGCGCGTTGGCGCGCCAGCGGCCCCTCCCTGGCCCAGGGCATTAATGCGGGCTCGGCTGCGGCCGCGCGAGGCTTCGGCCGTTCGGGCTGCCCCCTCACCGCGGGCCTACCCTCAGCCAGATGCCTTCTGCTCCCACTGTTCCCCCCTCTCCTCCTCCTCCTCCTTCTCCTCCTCCTCCTCCTCCTCCTCCTCCTGCTGCTGCTCTTCCTGCTGCTGCTCCTCCTCCCCCTCCTCCTCCTCTCCTCCTCCTCTTCCTCCTCCTCTGTCTCCTCCAACTCCTCCTTCTCCTCCTCCTCCTCCTCCTTCCCTCCTCCTCCTCCTTCCTCCTCTCCTCATCCTCCTCCTCCTCCCCCCGTCCTCCTCCTCCTCCTCCTCCTCCCCTCCTCCTCCTCCGCGTCCTCCTCCTCCTCCTCCGCGTCCTCCTCCCCCTCCTCCTCCTCCTCTCCCCCCCTCCTCCCCCCCCTTCGGCGCCCCGCGGCGCTCTTCCCGCGGCCCCTCAGCGCAGGTAGCCGACGCGGCGGCCGGGCGGCCCAGCGCCTCCCGCCGGGCCGACGAAGAGCATCTCCACGTCCGACGTGCCTCCCCGGGCCGCGCGGAGGGAGGAGCGAGGCCCACGGCCCACGGAGGTCGTGGCGGTCGTCGCCGTCGTCGTCGTCGTCGTCGGCGTCGGCATCGTCGGACACTCGGAGGCCGGCGGGGGTCGTGGTCGGTGTCGCGGTCGTCATGGTCGTCGTGGTCGCGGTCGTGGTCGCAGTGGTGGCGGTGGTGGTGGTGGTCGTCGTCGTTCGTCGTCGTTCGTCGTCGTCGTCGTCGTCGTCGTCGTCGTCGTCGTCGTCGTCGTCGTCGTTCTCCATCCTTCTGAATAACTCCTCCTGGTCGCGCAAAGGGACGTGTTGGCAAGGAGGGCTGGGCATTTCGTCTGAGACTTCCTCACCATTTATGATCCTTGAGCATACAATCGCAGCAATTTCACGGAGGCAAGGCGGGCGGTTTTCAAAATGTCGGTCTCACCGTAGCGCCGCGCGTCTTAAACGTATGCAGCAGTTTTACGGATGCGAGGCGGGTGGTTTCTAAAACGTGGCTCTCCGCCGCGTAAATTCCTCATCAAGTTAGCAAGAGTTTCGCGTATGGAAGGCGGTTCCTTTCCAAAATGTGGTTCTCTCCTCAGCGCCGCGCACATTCGTCGTACAGTTTCGCAGGGGCTTCACGGATGAAGGGCTGCTGCTTTTAAACATGTGGCTCTCACATCAGTGCCGCGTAGATTCGTCTTAAAGGTTTGCAGAAGCTTCGCTAATGGAGGGCGGCTCTCGTTCAAAATGTGGCTCTCGCCTTAGCGGCGCGCATATTCGTCTTAACATTGTACAACTGTTTCAAAGTTTCTGATCGTTGACGTACCGGAAATTGTGTTTTAGCAGGGTGTAGGGCTGTCAGGGCGTAACAATGACATGGATTCGCGGTGCTGCAATGTTTTAGCATGGCTCGGGACTCTCAGACCTTTGTCTTCCAACGCCAACGAGACACTTTCCTCATATAATATAAATCTTCGTAGGGACATATGGAGAATACGCTTGGAAAGAGGGTCTGCTGCAACATCGTTGATGAGGCTTGGGTTTGCACCTGCCCTCCTCCTCCTCCTCCTCCTCCTCCTCCTCCCTCCTCCTCCTCCTCCACCTCCTCCTCCTCCTCCTCCTCCTCCTCCTTCCTCCTCCTCCTCCTCCTCCTCCCCCCCCTCCTCCTCCTCCTCCTCGTCGACGTCGTCGTCCTCTCTCTCTGGAGGTTGGCTGGCCGCATTCGGAGGCCGGCGCGAAGAGGCCCCAAGGCGCCCCGGCCCCGGGCCCGCGCGGGCCGGTCTGGGGCGGCCACGGCCGTGGATGAGGAGGAGGAGGAGGAGGAAAAAGTAGGGAGGAGGAGGAGGAGGAGAGGAGGAGGAGGAGGAGGAGGAGGAGGAGGAGGAGGAGGAGGAGGAGGAGGAGGAGGAGGAGGAGGAGGAGGAGGAGGAGGAGGAGGAGGAGGAGGAGGAGGAGGAGGAGGAGGAGGAGGAGGAGGACCCCCCCCCCACAAAGCGAGCTCAGGAGGAGGAGGAGGAACCCCCCCCCACAAAGCGAGCTCACACACTTTCTCACGTGCTACTGCTCAAGAGGTGCACATGTCGGCGCACCCATCTCGGGTTCAGCGACACCTGCGCCTCTGGGCGCTCTCGAAGTGCTGGTGCCGGGGTCTCTCTTCGGGCCTCCCGAACACCTCTGAGGGAGCCGCTGAGGACCATTGGAGACTTCTTGGGACGCCGAGCCCCTGGGGCAATCTTGGATCGATATTCGGAGCCTCTTGGACAATCTTGGCAAGTTAGTGGGCCGAAACGGCAAGAACACTAAAATCATTTGAAATTCACCGGGGAAGTAATGCTTTGTGCCCCTCGGGGCCCTCTCGGGGGCCCCTTGGGAGCGCCCTCAAGCGTCTCAGAGGCCCCTGACACTGCCTTGAAGCAACGAAAGCTCCGCGGCCGTGTCGGAGCCCCCTTGTGACCCCTCAGGAAAAGAGCTCCTGGGCGTCCCCGGAGGGCCCCGGTTCCCCCATGGAGGTTCGAGGCTGCTGGGCAGGGGCCTCGGACCCCATCTATTAAGGCCCTCTTGAGCCCTAGCCCTTTGAAGGGCGTCTTGAGCCGTCTTGGGGCAATCTTTGGGGCCTCTTGGGCTGTCGTGGAGCGTCGGGGCCCCGAAAAGGCGAGAGCGCTAAAATGCTTTAAAACCTATGGACAAGCCACTTTTGTAGCATCTTTTGAGCTCTCTTGGGAGGGCTCTTGGGGCTCTCTTGAGGCATCTTGGGGGCCTGTTAGGCCGTCTCGAAGCATCTCTGGCGTTCTGGAAGCGCTCTTGGGCTGTCTTGGGGCCCTCTGGCGTGTCTCTGAAAACGTTATGGGGATGTCTTAGGCTGTCTTGATGCGTCTTGCAGGCATGTTAAAAACCCTGGCATCTCCATGCGACGCCGAACACCCCTGGGGCCGTGAGGAAGCGCGCGCCTGGACAGACGTTGCGACTCGGCGACGACAGTGACAAGGACTTTCAAATAATCTCGGAACTGTCCTGGGCTGTCTGGGAGCGCTGGCGGCTTCCCGGGCCCCCAACAGGAAGCTCCAGAGAGCTTCAGGAAACCGCAGGACGCCCAGGACAGGCCCCAGGGGTCCGCAGGAGATTCCCAGGAGGCTCCCAGGAGGCCCCAGGAGGTCCCCTATCAGAACGTGTCAAATCAATACAAATCCGGTGCCGATTCGTTGATTTTTCCTGCTCTTGTGGCCCCCCCCCCGCCCATTTTGGGGGGCCCCGACGGCCACATGTTAGATATCCTCCCCTGGGAGCCCCAAGAGGCTTCAGGAAGCCCCAGGTGGGGCCCAGGAGGCCACAGGAGGCCCAGGAGGAAGCCCCAGGAGGTCACCAGGAGGCGCCAGGAGGCCCCACGAGGCCCAGGAGGCCCAGGAGGCTCCCAAAACGTGTCAAGTTAATACACATCCGGTGTCGATTCGTTGATTTGTCCTGCTCTTGTGCCCCCACCCCCTATTTTGGGGGGCCCCGACGGCCACATGTTAGATATCCCCCCTGGGAGCCCCAAGAGGCTTCAGGAAGCCCCAGGTGGGGTCCAGGAGGCCACAGGAGGCCCAGGAGGAAACCCCAGGAGGAAGCCCCAGGAGGTCCCAGGAGGCCCCAGGAGGCCCCCGCAACTCGGAGCTCTGAGACGCCGCGCTCGAGGTAGTCCGGCCCGTTTCGCCTGAGACTTCCTCGCAGCACGTTTCGCCCGAGACATCGCCGGCCTCGCGGGCAAGCTCCCGGTCCAGGTCCTCCAAGGAAGACGGGCGATCTTCGTCCATGTGGTCTTCGTCGTCCGACGACGCCGAATCGCTCCCGCGCTCAACCTGCTCGCCCTCGCGGCGCGGCCCTGCAGGCAACCAATCTGAGGCTCGGATCCTGCTGTACAGCCACACCCCCAAGCTCGAGTGCGCCCTGGTTGCCCCGACGTACCCGTGCCCCGGGTCGGGGGGTACGACCGTGGCGTGTTAACACCAAGAACCAGATTCAAGATGTCTGGGTTGAAGATTTTCTTGGCCTTCTCGTCCTTGATCCACAGACACGCCGCCTTGAGGACCTCCGCCGCCAAAAACCGTCGCATTGATTTTTCCACCGCGTCGGATGTCTGCGTCGGGCGCGCCCCTCGCGGGCGTCGGCCGGTCCGCCGCTCCGGAACGCCGCGGGCCGCGCCGTAGCTCCCTGGCTGATCGGCGACAGCCAGGGGTCTCATTCAACAAACGATCGCGCGCACGCAAAGGGCTACCCAAGTTCTGCCAAGGTTCACGTGTAAGTACTTATGAGGAGGGAACATGGGACGGGAGGGGATGTTCCTTGCGAGCACTACTAATCTTCAGTTCGCTCTGGTCCTCCTCCTCCTCCTCCTCCTCCTCCTCCCTCTCCTCCTCCTCCTCCTCCTCCCTCCTCCTCCTCCTCCTCCTCCTCCTCCTCCTCCTCCTCCTCCTGATCCCGATCCCTCTGGGCGGCCGCAGAAGCTGTCGTACTGGGACTTCCGGCTCGCGCACGTCTGCTCGGAGCTGCCGGCGCCTGTGGCACGGCTGAGGGGAGAGGGAGGAGGGAAGCTAGGTTTAAGTCGGGCCTGTCCCCCTACAAGGGGATTTGGGATGAAAAAATACATTCAAAAAGTATTCAAACGATGCCCCAAAATATTCGAAAAATAGTGCCCATCATATTTTTTGACAACTTTGGAATGTTCCCTCTGTAGAGGGACAGGCCCGACTTAAAGCTAGGTGCGCTCGAGCCGTATATGACCATCTTGCCCCTCCCACCCATCCTTTCCCATTGCGCTGTTGTCTCTCTATAGTTGTCGACCGGTGTCGTAGCGGACTTGTAGCCCCCCAGCGCACTCCGTTGTGTCATGCACAATCACAGGGGGGGAGCTGCGCACTTTGGAGGGTGAGGTGGCGGGTGAGCAGGAGGATGAGCAGAAGAGAAAGGAAAGGGAGGAAGAGGGACGACGATGATGATGATGATGATGATGATGATGATGACGATGATGGTGATGATGGTGATGGCGATGGTGCTGATGATGCTGATGATGAGGAGGAGGAAAAGGAAGAGCGACAGCAGCAGTAACGGCATTAGTGGGAGAAACGGGAAAAGCAGGATGACCAGGGCAAGGCGGGGGAGGTGAAAGGAGCCGGGCGACAACGCTGAGGAAACATGCGGATCCAGAAAAAGTGGCCCGCGCTGGGGCGAGAGCGCAATTCTGAACAATGGGAGCACAATGGCACAGCGCCAATCCTATTTCAGGCCGGCGCTGCAGCGGGAACACCATGCACACCGACAACGCTCCGACCGCGAAGCAATCATGGAAACCTGTTCTGACAAGAACGGGAAGCGAATGTTCGCACGTTGAATGCAGGTGTGGCATCACATGGGGACGCCAAAACTGGATCGCTTGTGCGAACAAGGTGACGGTACCCATTGTCCAGTTACGCAGGCTGTCTGAGGAACAAACACGATCATAATGTAGCCGGCGTGGAGGCCAGCAAAAGCGCTGTTGGAATGACGACGACGACGACGACGAGGAGAAAAGGGTCGATGGCTATGATGGAGGGGAAATAAACAAAAAAGGAGTGCAGGTGCATGACGTCGAGGAGAGGAATGAGCGCTGACAACAGCATTGGAGATGAGGGCGATGCACGTCGCGCGAGCGTGATCCCATGAGCTCGACGCTGCACGGCGGGTGCTCCGCGGCGCGGACTGTACTGCCCTGCACATTGCGCGAGGGTGGCCCATGAACTCGACACTGCCAACGTGCCACTCAACTCTGTGAGCGGGTACTCGTGGGCGGGTCGCTTCACGCCGCGGTCCCGGGAACCTGGGAAGGGTCTGGGCCCCTGGAGACGTGGCGAGGGGGCCGTGTTCTGATGAGAACCGAGGTCCTCGACAGTGCCCCGCATGCAAAGCTCTTACTTCTATCGGGTGGGCGTGCAGATATCGTTGGGCGCGTCTTCGAACAGCGTTTGCGTCGCAGCGGTGCTGTGGAAGCCTTTGCCTGCGCTTCGGGTGACGGGGTCCAGGCCTGTCTGCCGGAGGAGCCAGTCCGCGTGGGGGGGCGGCGCCGGGCGCGTTCCATGGGGGGGGGTGCGGCCGCGACAGGCCCTCAGCAGGCCAGGCAACTTCTCGCTGACCACTGGGGCCGCGCCCACTTGGGGGGTCGGTCTGATCCTGCTGCTCGGCGCCTGCTTCGTCAATCTGTCCAGCGGCCCCCAAAACAACTCCCAAGAGACACCCTAGGAGGTTCGTATGTTTGTCATTTTTCTTGTCCTCCTCATCCTTCTCCTCCTCCTTCTCCATCTCCTCCTCCTTGTCCGCCTCCTCCTCCTTTCCTTCTACTTTTTCAGCCTACTCCTCCTCCTCCGTTCCTCTCCCCCCCCACATCCTCTTCCCCCTCCTCCTCCTCCTCCTCCTCCTCCTCCTCCTCCTCCTCCTCCTCCTCCTCCTCCTTCGACTAAGCCATAGCGCAACATGAGTCTGTCACGCCGCCAGGCCTGTCCAACAGGCCTCAAACGAACCAGTCGACCCCCACGCCGACGAGGTCCGCGATGTGCGAGGCGGGGGGGAAGGGGCAGGCGGCGCCCTCCTTCCACGGGAAAGCGCATCATCGCCGACCCTTCCGCTGCCTCTGCCGGGGGCCGCGTCCACCGCCTCCACGAGCCAGGCTCGGAGTCGGTGGAGCAGCCAGGTGGCGTAGTGCGGCTGAAGGTCAGCCACGCGCGCCCCAGGCGTGCGGACCCACGCCGAGATGAGCGCGGCTCTGCCGACTCGCCCAGCACGGGCTCCACGCTGTCGGCGGCAGCGGCAGCCGCCGCGTCACCACCCGCCGCCGCCGCACCAGCAGCAGCAGCAGCAGCAGCAGCAGCAGCAGCAGCAGCAGCAGCAGCAGCATCCGCCGAGGGGGTCGCTCCGCCAGCCGTCGGCGCCGCCGCAGCGGCCGCACCAGCTGGCTCCGCGGCCGCGATCGCCGCTGGGCCGCCGAGCCGACGCGAAGCCCGAGGAGGGAAATCGTCAGCCCAGGCGTCGTCCAGCACGTCATCGCCGTCGACCTCCATGAGGGGCTCGGCCGCGGCCGCAGCAGCAGGGGCCGCAGGCACGTCGCCAGCCGCGCGCCGCGCGGCACGGCAACGGCGGCGGCGCCTGCGCCGCTCGGCGCGAGCCGCGGGCGCGGGCACCCCGACGAGGACGCCGGCCTCGCGCACACCGAGCCCCATCCAACGTGCGAGGTGCGCGCGGCCGAGGGCGCGCGAGCACTTCGAGCAAATGGGTACGGATGCCCAAACCCCACGAGATCCCCGAGGGGGGACGTGGGGCTTGAGCCCAAATGGCTACGGACCCTCCTCCTCCTCCTCCTCCTCCTCCTCCTCCTCCTCCACTTCCTCCTCCTCCTCCGCCCCCCCCCCCCCCTCGCGGCGAAGGCAGCGACGACGAAGTCGACGACGACGAAGACGAATACGACGATGACGACGGCGGCAGCGGCGGCGGGAAAGAGTGGCGGAAGTCGGAGCAGCAACACCGCCACCACCTTCACCAGCAATACCAGCAACAGCAACAGCACCAACAGCAACACCCGCACCATTCGCTGCCAGAGATCTCCCAATTCACCGTTGTTGCCCACGCGGTTTCACTATGCGCGTCTTTTCATCCCTTCTCCCGTCAGCTCTCCTGGACATCGTTTCTGGATGGGCTGGTGGTACGCGAAGCGTCAAGAATGACATACGTAGACACAGCAGCCTTCCATGCCTTCAGCAGGCCAGCCAACACCTCTGGCCAACCTACAGTACGTTCATAGAACCAGCAATTCCCATTTACCTCCGCCTTTTATGCGGACGCAATTTGTACACATTCCTATTACTGGTTCGGTTTCATGCTTAGGCTGATCCGTGCCATTCTAGGGTACCGTCTGCTTCCCGTACCTGGCGGGCGCCTACTCAATGTGTTTCACTGTGCCGCTTTCTCTTTACACCCATCTCCTCGTCGCCCGCCAGGTGCCAATGCCCCAAGCCGAATTTTTGTTACCTTGCACACTCGCTCAAGAACGCTACAGGCTAGATCCTTACGTCGGGTTAACGTAAAAAGAAGGAGGGATGAGGAGGAGGAGGAGGACGAGGAGGAGGAGGAGGAGGAAGAAGAGGAGGAGGAGGAGGAGGAGGAGGAGGGACGGGGGACAGGAGGAGGAGGAGGAGGAGGAGGAGGAGGAGGAGGAGGAGGAGGGGGAGGAGGGGGAGAAAGGAGGAGGAGGGCGCGGGGGACGAGGAGGAGGAGGACCGCAGGCCGCCGCCTCTGTTGTTCTCCCCCCAGATGTCGTGGGCCCACTCCGTGTCCACCTTGACGCTCGGCTTCCGCGGGCAGCCGCTGGCGCAGCGGGGGGGAGGGGCCTCTCACCCTCGAGGCGGGGGGCACAAAGGCCCGGCTCTCGCGAGACGTCTGTCTGACAGCAAGGCAGCATCCTCCTTTTCCTCCTTTTCCTCCTCCTCCTCCTCGTCCTCGTCCTCGTCCTCGTCCTCGTCCTCGTCCTCCCTTCTCCTCCTCCTCCTCCTCCTCCTTCCTCCTCCTCCTCCTCCTCTCCTCCTCCCTCCTCCCCCTCCTTCTCCTCCCTCTCTTCCTCGTCGTCCTCGTCGTCCTCGTAGTCGTCCTCCTCCCCTTCCCCTTCCCCCCCTCCTCGTCTCGTCCTCGTCCTCGTCCTCCTCCTCCTCCTCCTCCTCCTCCTCCACCTCCACTTCCTCCTCGTCCTCCTCTTCCTCCTGCTCCTCCGCCTCCTCCGCCTCCTCTTCCTCCTCTTCCTCCTCTACCTCCTGCTCCTCCTGCTCCTCCTCCTCCTCCTCCTCCGCCTCCGCTTCCGCTTTCGTCATAGGCAAACCGCTGAGCAAACACGAGCGCCCGTGGCGGCACCATCCTCCTCCTCCCCCCCTCCTCTCCCTCCTCTTCCTCCTCGTCCTCCTCGTCCTCTGCCTCCTCGTCCTCCTCCTCCTCCTCCTCCTCCTCGTTTTCCTCCTCTTCCTCGTCCTCCTCCTCCTCCTCCTCCTCGCCCACGCCTGCACTCGCGCCCCTCGAACCCAGGCCGCCAGCGAGGCCCAGTCGCAGAGGAGGGCGACGGCTGTGGAGGCTCTCGGGGGGAGCCAGCCTGCTCACACAACACGGGGCCTCCCGGGCCCTGGCGGCGGGAAAGGGTCCAAGAGAGGGCCAAGATGCCCCTCCGATATCGCCATGGTGCTCCGAACACCTTTGGACATGATGGCCCCCCCCAAGAAAACAAATGAGAGCGCCTGGACAACCCGCCCCCCACCAAAGATCGGCCTCTCTAACCGCCCCCCCGCCCCCCCATTCCAAAGGGAGGTTCGAACCGCCCCAGTCTCCCCCCAGGAGAATCCGAGAAGTGCTCGATCAAGCTCTAATCTATAGACTCCCACTATATCTGGACTCAGCTTTAATCGCATCGTAATCCAGCTCGGCCCAAATCAAATATGATCCCCGTGAAGCTGGATCCCGCCCTAACCCCGAAGGGTTTGCAGAACCCCCAACAATAGGGTAACCATTTTTTTTCGGCGGCCTCATTCACGGACAAAGGGTTCCAACGGTATGGGGGTAACACATTATTTTGTTCCGCGGCGCTCGCCGCGCGCAACAACGACGACGACAGCTACGACTACGATTGCGACTACGACTGCGACGACTACTGCGACTTATGCCTCAGGAGCGCTCCCACGGAAAATCCTACCTCAGAAACTCGGTTCTCAGAAAGTCGATCCTCAGAAACTCCATCGTCAGAAGAAGTCAAGAATCTCAGGCCCCACTAGGGCCCTCAGAAATCCACCCTCAAAGGCTCAATCCTCAAAGAGATTGTGAGCAACACCTTCGGCGAATGATGTGTCTATCTGTATTGCAATGCTCTTACAAACGTGCTTAACATTCCTCGGTCGAGAAGGGTGGTATGGGGGGCATTATTCACATGGAGAAAGCGCGCCCCGACATTATTCCGTCACAACACTAGAGGGACAACACACTCCGCCGCGGCGACGACGACGCTTAAGACTACGAGTAATATTGCAATTGCGATGAAAGCTACAACCGCGATGACGGTTACGACGACAATCGCGACTACGCTCACGATTCCAACCGCGATTACAACCACGACTACAAGAGCAGACACTGATCCCCAAGTCGTAATAGTCATCGCCGTCGTCGTCAAAATCGTAGCTGGTCGTCGTAGTAAGTAGCAGTATTAGTGGTCGTAGTCGTAAGAGGAGTAGTAGTAGTGGTAGTGGTCGTAGTACCAGTAGTAGTAGTAGTAGTAGTAGCAGCAGCAGCAGCAGCAGCAGCAGCAGCAGCAGTAGTAGTAGTAGTAGTAGTAGTAGTAGTAGTAGTAGTAGTAGTAGTAG